GTTAATAATACTTATAAAAGCAGATACTCCGTTTGAAACTATGTCACCTCAGTGAAATTGGTCAACAACATTGTTTTGGTTTTTTGAGTTATCATGTAATAAAAAGAAGCAGAAGAAAGAAGAACAAGAAATTCAGACTTTTTGCTATGATATTTACAGACAATTACCAGAACTTGTGACTCAGTCATTACATGGGAAACACTGTATAGTATTGTAAAGTCCTATTGACCTATTGAGGAGATATTTAACCTACAATTTCGAGGAACAATCCGAGCCATCCCTACATAGGCAGTGCTGCCGCCTGCCTGATATTACACAATGAAATAGTTCACATTAAACATTTATTGACTTTGATGGGGTTTGAGAGTAATTTCACTAAAAGTAACACCAGTGAAAGACCCAATTGTTCTGATTATGCCCCAAATTCATTATTAATGCCCCAAAGCATTACTATATTTAAAATGACAATCACAGTATATCAAAAAGAAATTGTTTTTAATCCTGGGCACAAATAAAAATTCGCTACGCATTTTAGTTTATTAAAAGGATAAAACACCTATTATATTTCAAGGGTACGATACCTAAGAATGTCTATGTATATAGTTTCACATCCTTCTTGCACGGAGGAATTACTAGCTCTATTACTAGGCGGCTGTCGACTAGTATAAAACATATTCCTATGAAACTTGAGAATTTACCAAGACAAGTTGTACGACATGTTTAAAGAAGTGTATCATTAGTATCATTATGATGGTTAATCGAGGTAGAGACGAAGAGCATTTAAGATTTAGTGAACTTGATGATTAGAAAACAGAAGCCATCATTAAACCGTCAAAACATGACGGTATCACTACCCCTCAAGTCGCGGTGGAACGGAATGTATCAGAATTACATTTTGTTTAGAATTTCTAAGTTGGGAATATCTCTTATATTCAATAGCATTGGATAACAGGGAATGTGGATCAACTTGGGGAACCAGGACCATCCAGAAAGAGACATTTAATAAGTCTTACCTAAGTCGTGATAAGCAAAGTATGGATGGGGTCTTGTAATAGTTGCAAATCCACGAACACAAAGATCAGTGACAAAAGCCGTTCACGTGACCCAGGCAACAATATGCAACATAGTCAAGAAAGATCTTTATCTGGAAAATCGATACAAGTTTGGTGTACACAACTTGCATCCACGACTTATCCGTTCAATCATCGCATACCTCAAGCATTTGGAGAATGAAATGGGTATTCATACTATTCCATACGAAAACATACCGGTAATGTCACCTACAGATTTCTGTGGGATCGGAATGTACAAAAAAAAAACGCTGGTAAACCTTGGTCCTAGCACGCTAGATTTATTATGGAAAGCATGTTTTACATATGGTAGCCTTACGAAGGATTATTTTGCAATGGAAACTTCGATGCAGGATTGTTGTTAGGATGCACATTCATCAGCTAGAGCATGACCGGACGTGACTATATGGACTGTAACGGCATGATGAGGTTAAAGATGATTTTAATGTAACGTACTCAACCTTTGTGTTACGTGAATAGAAGAGCCCTAGATATTGGAGTTAGAGGATATATTGATAAAGAAATATTTTATTGTTAAATAAATTATTTATAGCTAGCTCCGTTCTAGATTTGGAAGTCAGTACGTGATTCGGGAATGAGGTACGTAATAAACAGACCATCAGTTACTGTATAGACGTCTTCCTGTGTACTGCTACCAAAGAGAACTTGTTTCCTGGTTACATCATCCATAGATGTTCGCTTGGATGTAAGCAGGATTTATATGAATACAGTGTGTAAAATAAGGTTGTGTGTTTTTTTCTTTCGGCATACAACTTTTAGGAAGTTTTTTTTTTTGGTTAAGCGCCAAGTTGTTGCACAATGGGCTTATCTGTGTTGTGCTCACCACGGGAATTGAAACACGGTTTTACCACTTCAAGTTTTACCGCTGAGACCTTTGGGGGGGGGGCACTTCAGGAAGTTTCGGCCAGAAGAGAATCTACAAATAAGTTGGGTAATATTTGCTCATGAGGAGAGAGTATAGATTTGGGGTGAGGACACAAACTATAATACCTATCAACTATCTATGAATATTCTATATGATTTTATTATTCTCCTATGATCAAAATACTAAGATCAGTGTGAGTGTTAAATGTACCGTTTACATAATACTAGGATTATTTTGAGTGTTAAATGTACCGTTTACATAACACTAAGATTATTGTGAGTGTTAAATGTAATGTTTACATAATACTAAGATTATTGTGAGTGTTAAATGTACTGTTTACATAATACTAAGATTATTGTGAGTGTTACATGTACTGTTTACATAACACTAAGATTATTGTGAGTGTTAAATGTACCGTTTACATAACACTAAGATTATTGTGAGTGTTAAATGTACCGTTTACATAACACTAAGATTATTGTGAGTGTTAAATGTACCGTTTACATAATACTAAGATTATTGTGAGTGTTAAATGTACTGTTTACATAATACTAAGATTATTGTGAGTTTTAAATGTACCGTTTACATAATACTAAGATTATTGTGAGTGTTAAATGTACCGTTTACATAATACTAAGATTATTGTGAGTTTTAAATGTACCGTTTACATAATACTAAGATTATTGTGAGTGTTAAATGTACCGTTTACATAATACTAAGATTATTGTGAGTTTTAAATGTACCACATGTACCGTTTACATAACACTAAGATTCTCAAGAAGTTTGAGCATAGCTTTTACGCACGTTATTCACACTTTGTTACCCCGTCTAACATAACATTTTAGTTACGCCGTTATAATATGTACTTTAGCTTCCTCGTCTAACATAAAATTTTAGATATATCTTTATAACATGTAACTTTATTAATAACGCCATTATACCTGGTACCTATAGTTACGCCGTTATAATATGTACTTTAGCTTCCTCGTCAAACATAAAAATTTAGATATATCTTTATAACATGTAACTTTATTAATAACGCCATTATACCTGGTACCTATAGTTACGCCGTCGTACATGGACACTCAGTTATGCCGTTGTAACAACAACTTTTATAGTTACGCCGTTATAACGTACATTTAACTACGCCATCTGACGTATATTTTGAAATTTCACTTTACGCCTTTATCAAATAGTTACAGTTTAAATATCTGTATCACTTTTTTTTTGTCCACTAAAACTCTTAGTTTTAATAAAACTACATTTCAGGCGATTGACATCACAAGTATAGCTACACGTAACGTTTTTTTTTTTCTCCACTGGAATTACTGCTGCACGTTTTGAGAACGTCTATAAAACAATACTGCAACTTCTAGATTAAGATGGTAGAGCACATTCAGAGTATTATTGTGTTACTTGGGAAAAAGTAGCTACAGGGTTTATTTTCTTACACTGTAATTATGCCTTCCACAATTTGGCTGTAGTGTTATTAGAGTCCCGAGTCTTTCACATGGAAAAGACTGAAGTCTACTATTAATAAAATATTATGATTGGTCGTAAAGTACGAGTTATATGTCTAAAGTAAATATGAACGAGGCTAAAATACAGCAGAAAAACTGAGTCAAACACACACGAGGCACGTGATTTCTTTACTTATACGAAGGTTTAACGAACATACACAGATATATATATTAATATATATAAAGAAATAAATATCTTACACACTATTGAGTATATTAATTGTTTATAGGCGATTAAATCAGCACTATAAAACAATAATGAGTTAAATATCGCAATGCAGTTGAGAACCAGGACCGCTAACGGTATTGCGATATTTATAAATATATACATACCTATATATATAAATTTATATGACAAGAATTAGCTTTGTTAAGCTCATGATTAAAAAAATAATTATCAAACTATTTAACCTAGCGCGTTTTTACGCGAAATTTAGGTTTGGACTAAACCACCGTTACGACGACAAAAACCTTTGATAAATACCACAACAAAACAATGTATATTTCAGGCCTAACTCTTTCGGCACTGGGGAAGATTAATGATATATATATATATATATACACATATGTTTTCCAATTTAGAAAGTTCGTCTCTACGGTAAAATATGCCAAAGATATAAAAAATGCAAAGTTTAAGATTTGAAAAAAATTGGGAATCAATTTTTCTCAGGGGATTATTCTCATGAATGAAAACACGGCTGAGTATTCTAGTCAACTTGCACGGCGCGTTAGGCTTACACATTAATATCGAACACATTTCCAATTCTGTACATGTATGTGATAAAACAACTAGTGAAATGGAAGAAAATCAGGTCGGCGCTGAAACTAGTATTTTTTTTCTACCCACCCCATATACTTGTTTAGAATAAACCCTGTCTACCTTTCAGTTGTCAGAGCCTTTCAGAGTCCCTCTGGTACAAAGCTTCTTGCGTGAACTTCGCCCTGCAGATGATGGACTTGGCGGAGAAGTGAACACATGCGACAAGTACGGTACGCGTCTCTCAGGCAACTCACGCTCAGAACATTCGATTTACTGGGGAAGAAGTCGACCGATCCCACCACCACGGCTTGGCAGGGAAATCAATGCGCGAGGAACGCTCAGAGGACTTCGATCTGTAACACTATGCATTAAGCCTACACCATCAAATCACAACTATTCCTGGGTTAATCTGCTTTCTTCGGGCATAATTATCCACACCAGATTAGTTAAAAAAAAAACATAAAAGAAGAGAAAGATAAACTACGGAGTATTAGTGTCTTAAAAGAAATAAATAATAATCCCTAGGGGAATAATTTGTTTTCTTTTCGACATGTCGTGGGATACCTGTCTGGTGAGACTCGAGGTCAAAGGGGGGGAAATTAAACCACGTGGTGACCAAGGCTCTTGCAGTGAGTGGGTTTTTCTCACGATAATTTCTTTTTTATCATCAATTAACTTTACCTAAAGGAAGGATGTATAATAAATAAATGGGATTTAGTTTGCAAGAAACAAACAAACAAAAACCTTGTAAAAGAAATCCTTACCGTGATCTTCGGGTGGATGGGTCCTTCATCACCATGACTTCGGTAATCTCACCGTATTTGCCGAAATATTCCCTCAGTGTCTCTGTAGGTGAAAACACACACACAAAGAAAAAATGATCAGCCGGAACAGAATACCCCGGTTTACTTAGAAAAGTCCAACTAACAACTAAGGAATTTGTAACTAGAGATAATGTCATATGAATAAAATGTTTGTTGTAAACGTGTGTAAGGAAAAGAAAGAAAGACAGACAAAAAAGAGGAAAACACTAACCTGGCGCTGTTTGCCAGCTTAATCCACCGATAAACATTTTTCTGAAAGAGAGAAGGATAGGAGATTAAACCCCGACTTTACATAAATCCATTAAAGCTTCAAAGATCTCGGCACTGAATGAACACAGAAAGATAAAAAAAAAAAAAAGTCATCTAACACATGGCGGTTAATACGACCATATACGTAAAAACAGGACCGAGAACCGAACTCGGTCGGCGGGAAAACATCACCCTCACGGCGGAAACCTACCCGGGGTCCTGAGACACGTCGTTAGGGCTAACGGAATTGCTCTGTTGGCTGTCGGTCTCCATACTACCTACAATATACTGAAAACTACGGCTACTCTACTAAACACACTGCAGCGTTGGGCTAAGCACGTGAGATGACTGCAGTGGTAAAGTAACACTGCACGCTGAGACTATGGACCATAGTGGGAGGACGGCTATGGTCCTTGCGGCAGCCACAGAACGCAATCTGATTGACAATGGCCCACGGGACCTCATTGGTCGTTTTGCTGACGTCTGGGTTGAGAACACTTTTCATTGACGTCATTTTGAGCTCATCATCAGCGGCACGCCTCACCGCGGCAAGCGTATAAGCCAAGCTAGCGCCACCAGGTGAATTAATTTTTAACTATATCAACTTCGAATTTCTGAGCAATTGGGCCACATTTTGCGATATTCAGTTATTTTGGACCTTCTTAATCATGTTAAATACTTTAAACTAAAAACGTTTCTTGACTGATCAATAATCGATCAATAGAAAAAAGTCGACTTTCTATTGGATCTCAAACCATTGACGAACTCTTTATACACTTTACTTGCACATCTGAGACGCAAGTCTTGATTCTACGATGTCCACATTCACGGTTACGGAAGTCTTGATTCTACGATGTCAAAAATCACAGTTACGCAAATCTTGATTTGGCGATGTCAAGATCCACGGTTACGCGAATCTTGATTTTACGATGTCAAAAATCACGGTTACGCAAGTCTTGATTTGGCGATGTCAACGTCCACGGTTACACGGAATGTTGATTCTACTATGTCAGCATCCATGGTTACTCAAAACTTGATTCAACGATGTCAAAAACCACGGTTACGCAAGTCTTGATTTGGCGATGTCAACGTCCACGGTTACGCGAATCTTGGTCCTACGACGTCAAAAATCACAGTTACGCAAATCTTGGTTCTACTATGCCAGCGTCGACGGTTACGCAAGTCTTGATTCTACGATGTCAACAACCATGATTGCTGTAACTCAGCGAAAGGTAGGACAAAAATCCTAAGATGTAACAAATGTGTGATAGCGTGTTTCAGTGATCATGATAGTGGGCTTTTGAAAAATCATATGAATGACACAGCCTGTAAAACTAAGTGAAAACACAAACTTAGATATTTAAAGGAGACATTGCTTAAAAACAGCAAAGAAAGTTACTCTACATCTCAGGTTAGTAACAATAGTAAACTGTCTAATAGTTCGTAAGCATAGGGAGTAAAAGTGAGTATGAGTTAATCGCACACTAAACACTGGTTGTCAGGAGCACAACTGTGAGCAGTACTTTAAAAAAAGAGCATAAGTTAACGGTTCATAAAAAAATAACCATACATAAAGTTAACGGTAGTGAAAACGGAAAACGCTATATCAGTACTAATCTATCTGTCCAAAATGTTTTTAATGATTTGAAGGCAGTTAAAAAAAAACCTCTTCAATTTTTGTAAAAATTACTTTGAAGATGGTAAGACTTATGAACAGACAGGTAGACAGATTTCAGATCAGAGTTGCAGTGACGTTTTATACATTTTAATTCACACACACACAAAAACAACAACAGGCAATTATAGATAAAAGTAAGTACAACAATCTTCAAATATATATATTCTTATTTACAAAGAATAGAGAGGTGTAGTTAGGACGTGAGTTACAGTGACTCTTATATGTTCTAATTCATAAAGAATAGAGAGGTGTAGTTAGGACGTGAGTTACAATGACTCTTATATGTTCTAATTCACAAAGAATAGATAGGTGTAGTTAGGACGTGAGTTACAATGGCTCTTATATGTTCTAATTCACAAAGAATAGATAGGTGTAGTTAGGACGTGAGTTACAATGACTCATATCTTTTAATTCATAAAGAATAGAGAGGTGTAGTTAGGACGTGAGTTACAATGACTCTTATATGTTCTAATTTACAAAGAATAGATAGGTGTAGTTAGGACGTGAGTTACAATGACTCATATCTTTTAATTCATAAAGAATAGAGAGGTGTAGTTAGGACGTGAGTTACAATGACTCATATCTTTTAATTCATAAAGAATAGAACACCTCAGTTAGGACGTGAGTTACAATGACTCATATCTTTTAATTCATAAAGAATAGAGAGGTGTAGTTAGGACGTGAGTTACAATGACTCTTATATGTTTTAATTCACAAAGAATAGATAGGTGTAGTTAGGACGTGAGTTACAGTGACTCTTATATGTTCTAATTTACAAAGAATAGAGATATATAGTTAGGACGTGAGTTACAGTGACTCTAAAATGTTTTAATTCACAGTATTAAAATACATACTGTGTTCTCACTGTATGTTCACCATTGGTCCTGATAAACTGAACCACTATTGATGCAATGTTTCTTCCCTAACTGTCATTCGATATGTGCATTTGAATCTATTTCATATGACACGTAGTTATAACTATTAATATATCCAAGACCTACGTAATCTCACTGGCAGGAATTGAAATATTTCTGTAATACTAGTTATAGCATCACTTAGTAAAGATGGATCACATCATTTTACACGACCTTGACATCAGCCGTACAAGTGAAATACCTAGTTCACTAACGTAGGTCTAGGATTTGGGTCCATCATGCCATTCAACGAAATAAACAATATGGAACTATTCTGAAACTGACCGCTATACGATCACCAAAATGATAGCGATTACTCCTTGTGGAATTCTTCACTCCTTTAACTAACTTGTTAGAACTCTTGTTCACAGACGTATCGACAATTCTCTAATATTTAAAGGTTAATCTCGGAATGTTTTGTATATAAACATTGTGAGTGAATTAAAATTATAGACTAATATTTTGAATATTAGTGATAGAACCGATATAAAGTTTGTTTTTACTATACTGATATCAGACAATGCAACTTTAGTACCGTTTATTTTGTAGCCAGTCAAAGTGTGCCTTTCAGACGGCGTAAAAAAAGCAAACAAAGCTTATGTCACTCGTTGATATGTTCTTATTATTAACTCTTTGCTTTACTAAAACAATGAAGATTTTTAAAAAGTTAATTATAAACATGTGTATCCCCTCACTGAAATAGAAAATGGAGAGAGCACGTGACCCGAACAACCCCATACAGTGATGCTGATAAAGACTGACAATCATACAGATTAAGCAAGACTCAGCTTGGACAGCGCAAGCAAGGATTGGATTGCGTGCAATAGAGGTTGAGCCCTCTACAGGTGATTCGTTCACAAAACACGTGACATGAGAAGGAACGTTTGTTTGTTTTGAATTTCGCGCAAAGCTACACGAGGGCTATCTGCGTTAGCCGTCCCTAATTTAGTAGTGTAAGGCTAGAGGGAAGGCAGCTAGTCATCACCACCCACCGCCAACTCTTGGGCTACTCTTTTACCAACGAAAAGTGGGATTGACCGTCACATTATAACGCCCCCACGGCTGAAAGAGCGAGCATGTTTGGTGGGATGGGGATGCGAACCTGCGACCCGCAGATTGCGAGTCAAGCGTCCTAACCACCTGGCCATGCCGGGCCAAGAAGAACGATCTGTACAGGAAGGCCAAACTTCATTCTGCCACTTCCACAAGCTTATGGCGATGTCACTCATTTATGATGACGAATGTACCCCACTTTGTACAGACTAAGACCAAGGCCAGGCCTTCATGTGCAGATACCTTAACCAAAGTAACCATGGTGACAGGCTACAAACAGTCTCTACTTAAACTACAATTACATGCGTGTATGTAAGCCATCTTTAGCTTGACGAGATACACAGTGTCATAAATACACTTGAAACTGGACCTCCATGACCGGACGTAGTAATAATCTCCACCTTTAAGAAACTAATTGAAGCCAACCTGTTTAATTTAGTGTTGCATTATCAGCACAGCTGGGCAAAGGGTAACATAACTGAAATATACATTGACGCTTTTATGAAATCCTTACCTAACTCCATCGAATAATTGTTCTATATAACATAATTAGTAAAATTCCAGATTGTACTCCTGTTATATTTATCATTAGGTGGTTATTGCTGTGGAATAGAAACTGATACATGTGAAGGCTTTGAAGCTGGTCAAGAGCATCTTAGCAGTATAGATCTAGAAGATGTATACAATACTTTCTACCCCATCCCAATTCTTGCTGAAAAAATTCACCTGTGTAACATTTGTACCACGTATCATAGCTTCACCAACTACCAGAAGATGCATCACGAAGCTTGAAAGCTGACAATCAGGCTGGTTCATTATAAATACTGGTCTACCTTAATAATTACCATTCTCTCCAGACAACATCTATGCCAATGACTTATTCCGTCTTGTCAGTCCAACCTATCACCCTTTGCTGGCGACATTGGGATATAGGAGAGGCTTAAGCAAAGCTGAAATCGAAATCAATGCTCAACAGTCCCTTAGCAGGACGAGAAAATGGTGCAATGAAAAGCAAAGATCATCATTGCTGCCAAAGTAACAGCCATGATCTGCACACTTAACAACAAAAATGCTGATGAGTACAAACCATCCATTACGGGCATTGCCATCCCTTTGTAATGAACATTGAATTGCCTAAGGATAACTTTAACAAACTATTCAATTTAACAACCTCAAAAAACACTATTATTACCAGAGCTACCAAAGGCGTCAATACACTGAAAGTTACATCAGGGAATAGGGCTGAAGAACGAATGCCACGTGCTAGTGCTCTACCAAAGTCTTAGGAATTATGCACTAACGTTAATGTACAATTGCTATACAACTAGATAAGATTGAAAAGATACAAAAGACCTGTTTAAGACAGGTCACAAGATGTCTTTCAGTAACTCACATCAAGTTCTTGTTACACCTCACAAACTTCAATGTCGTCACAGAGTACCAAATGGGGACATCTGAGAATTGATGGTGACGGATATCTCAATGGCCGCTGTATAGCACCTGTCCACCAACTACTGCCTCCTGAGACGTCTTTTAGGCAATTCCCTACTTGGTTGGTTTTTGTGGGATCGTCATGGAGCTGGAATGTCCCTGTCGAAAAGCATTGGTTCAAACATGTTAGCCATGGTCTTTACACTGCAAGTCCCCAGCGAAAACTTCTGCTTGTAAGTGCCGTTGGTTCGAACTCGCGACCCTCAGATTGCGATTCAAGCGCCCCCTAACCACCTGGCTATGCCAGGCCTTGCAGGAGGAAGAGTATATTTCTTTTACTG